GTGTGTGTGAGCGTGTGTGTGTGTGAGCGTGTGTGTGTGTGTGTGTGTGTGTGAGTGAGCGTGTCTGTGTGAGTGTGCGTGTGTGAGCGTGTGTGTGAGCGTGTGTGCGAGTGCGCGTGTGTGTGTGTGTGTGTGTGTGTGTGTGTGAGAGAGCGTGTGTGTATGTTCACACTCTTTCACGCTCACATTCACCTGCTCGAGAAAGTCAAAGCTCAGGAGTTTCATACAATATCCCACATCCAGCAGAATGAGCGGAGACTGTATTTCAGTAGCGCTCAACACTCACACCAGTACAGTCGGCCGACAGAAGTACATCACAGAACCCGCAGATCTGCAGCAGATCTCACACATAACAATACTAATAATCAGAGAGTTGCTGAAGACGTTCTACCTCCTCCAGGTCCATCTCGTCTGGGCTCTTCAGATGCCGGATCACTCCTCTGGCTCTCTTCAGAGGAACCACCACCACATAGATGTTCCTGCAGGAGCACGAGAGAAACGCTGCTGAGGGTTCCTCACACCAGCAGCTGACGCTAATGAACGCACGCGTCTCTGAATGCTAACGAACGTCTGAACGTGATGCAGACACCTGCTCAACACAAATGTTAATTTCAGCTGTTTGGATGCAACGTCAAAGTTCAGCTCCAGGAGAATATATGAACTGATTATATGTGTACCTTTGGATTAAAGCATCGCTCAAATGCATAAATGTAAATAAATACTAAATTATACTAAACTAAATTACTCATTAACGATTCTTTTAGCACTTTCTGACTATACTATTACATTGCAAAAAAAAAAAATAGTGTTACTCAGTATTTCTGTCTTGTTCTCAGTACAAACATCCTTAAATCCCGATACATTTACTGGATAAATAAATGGACTATTAGGTCTACTAGACCTTCAGTCTTGTTTTCTGAACAATCGACCAGTTTATGCTTAAAACAAGAAAAAATATCTGTCAGTGCGGTAAGAAAAATAAATGTAATTCAAAGGGAAAAGACGTTTATTTTTCTGACTCCATTCACAGATATATTTTCTTGTTTTAAGCAAAAACTTGCTTAATTCTGATACATTTATTTAGAAAACAAAACTTATTCTCTTTTAATTCCTTTTGCTTCTCAAGTAAATGTATCTTGATTTATTTGTACTGGAAAACAAGACAAAAATACTTAAGTTAGTGTGTTGTCTGTTTTCATATTTATCCTATTCTTGGGTTTTTCTTCAGATAAGACCGGAAATAATGATTTGAGGTTCGGTGATTCAGTAAACTGATTCAGTGAGTGAACCGTTTGAGAATCATTTGTGTGTTGTGTGCAGAGACTGAAATGAACTTTTTCACTCACCAGCCAATTTGGCAACTCAATTTTTAAGATACCGGCCATTCATAACTTCTACTAGCCAAAATAAAAAACAGTTTGAGGCTGTCTACACTGGACGTGACAAAACGACCGCTGCAAATCATTTTGTGTCAGAACTAGGGGTGTGCGATATTGACAAAAAATAATATCTCATAACTTATGAAAAGTAATAAATGGACTATTAGGTCTACTAGATCTTCAGTCTTGTTGCAACCCGCTGAATTGGCTAGTGATTTGACAGCGTTACCCGCCACAGCTCATTTTTACCCGCATTTGGCGAGTGTTAATTTCAAACCCTGGTTGTGTGTAGTCAGTGAGGATGTGTTGTGTATTTATCATCTCTGTTGGGTTCACACAGATGGAGCATCATGTCTTTTGCTGCGGTGCTGCTGTTTGCTCGCACATGTATCTTCATGAACAGCGAGAAGCGCCGCGTGCGCTGCGGTGAGATAACGGCGCGTGCTGTAAATGTAAAGTGTGTGCGCTGCAGTGACTGAGCGTTGCATTGGGAGCTGAAGTGATTTTCTTCCTGGGCTCAGCAGCGGCCGCAGGAAGCAGCCAGAAACACAAATGGACTGCGGCTCTGAATTATTCACAGTGCAGCGGCTGCATGATTCCTGCACGTATGTGTGCGCATGTCATGCATGATTCATCTGTCCTCAGGTGCGTGTGCGTGTGCATGTAAGCGCTGCTCGCACCTGACGCTGCTCCTGGTGTCCAGCGAGGGCAGTATGATGGTGACCGTGGCTTCGGTCTCTCGCGTGTGGTCCACCTCGGGCCGGCGGATGAGGATGGGAGGAGATGTCTTGGCGTGAATGCGGTGTCTGAGGCCGCCCATGTTCCCCTCAGGGCTGGTGATCTTGAAGTCGTAGCTGGTGTCCGGCTGCAGGTTTGGGATCACAGCCTTCCTCAGACGCGCGTCCACCTCCATCTTCTGCCGGTTGTACTCCACCTGAGAATGAAAGCAAAACTCACAAGCGCTTGACAATGACATCAGCCGGGCTTTCTCAGCCAGAAGTGCTCAAAGGCCTGGTTTACTAACCCCAAAACAGATGCGCTGCAGTCAGGTTTAGTGAATCTAAAAACATCCCGCCGTGTTTGGGCTGGTTTTCACAGAAACTGAAGCTCTGCTTCAAACCCCAGTGAGTCAAAATGTCACTGGATCTTCTCTCTGCATGCAGGATCATTTAGTTTGCTTAAACCTGCCCCTTTCTTACACAGCAATGCACGCTTACATTCTGTTTTTGAGTGCCTCGCTCTCATCTCAACATTCAGTCGACAACCAATGCATTGAACCGAGTTTGTCGATAATCTGTTACATGAAGACAACACGAAAGAAAAGATCTGTTGCAACTTCTGTTTCAAGACGACTTCGAGGCTTCAGAGCTTCCAATCTATTACAAGACGCAGCAGTAACTTTCAGGTTCATTTATTGATAAGACAATCCCAGAATGCACTGCAATAGCCTGAAACATTTATGTCGATAAATAAACTGCACTCACTGAGCCATTTCGATCTTATTTTCAATCAAAACTGAGATACATTAACCAAAAAACAGTTCTACTGAGTTCAAGGTTTGTTTTTGACTTCAGTCATAATCAGTGACGACATAATTGAGATGGCTTGGCATTGTGTTGACGTGTTTCCTATCGAAAGCTGGTCGATGTGCTACTTACTGCTAGCCTGAGTCAGAGGCAGATGCTGTTTATAATGAAGAGGACGTCTGCATTCTAGAGACGGCAACAAGTGAACTAAAAGCCACAAACCAATACGGATGTGTTCACAGACGTGCAGGGATTGCTGCGAGACTCACAGTGAAGCGATAGGGGGCGCTGCTCTCCGGAAACTCCCACGTCAGCAACACGCTCGTCTTCGTCGCCAGATTCACAGAGAAATTCCTCGGCACGTCTGTCCAAACACACACACACATAACACACGTGAGACTCTGTGATGCAGCAACTGGAACACACACACAGGACTGTGAGGAGGCAGACGTCCGCCGCGTGCGCCGAGGCCTGTGCAGGGAATTGTGGGGGATGTAGAAGGTCAGTGTATGGATACGCAGGGACACATATGCGGAAGATCCAGTGAGAGCTGGCCCAGATTCGCTAGCTGCTAATGAAGGTTATTTTGAAGGAAGTCGGGGTGAGACACAAACTCAATCACACACAAACAAACACTCGCTTAATTTGTGCCACACCACAGACTGGACTGGGAAGTGTTGGGAAATGTAGTTGTGAAGGACAGTGAAGGAACTCAAAAGGACGAGGGAAAAGACAAACCTCTCCAGCCTTACCGTGAACCCGAAGGCTTGTCCTGCCAGACGGACTGTGACTGACGCCTGAGCACTTACCTGCGACACCGCCTCCCGTCGACCGGCCGAGCATCACCTGCGGTCGCCCACATACACACCTCCACTGTGACGGGTCGGGTGGGGTTAGTTGCGGGTGGTGTTGGTGTCGGTGGGATCACGGGGTTTAGTTCTGTGTGGCTCACCCAGGCGAGCAGTGCTGGGGAAAGCTACTTTTAAAAGTAATGCATTACAATATTGCGTTACTCCCTAAAAAAGTAACTAATTATGTTACTTAGTTACATTTTATGGAAAGTAGTGTGTTATGTTACTTTTGAAATCTGGGCAGGGCTTGGTTGTTTGTTTTTATTACAAAAAAGTTATTCTTTTAGAAACGTAAGTAAAAGCGCTTTCACAATAAAAGTGAAGTGAATGCGCCTCAGGCTGAAGGAAATGTAAATTCACGTCTGTACAGTAGAGGGCGCCGCTCAAACACATCTCATGAAGAATATGACGCAG